GAATATGACTGATGGGAAAATATTTACAAGGGCTTAATTATGTGTTGGATGCTGGTTAGGAAGTATGTTGCTTATTTAAAATGCCTGCTGGTGGTATGATTAACCTGAAGTTTCTGACACTTTAGAACGACTAGGAATGGAAACATTGATTAATTGGTATGTAAATGAAGATTTAAATGGCTTCATTCACCTCTCAGTAAATTGCACAATGAGATTTAACAATTTCAAAACTGGAGCTCATATCAACACTACGTAAAGTATGTATGTAATAAAAGGGGATTTTCGAAAGAAATGCTATTGATAGTCCGGCAGTACAGAGGATATTTCTCATTTTTACTTTTGTGAATTAATGTGGCAACAGCAGTATACAGAGTCTAGTTTAGATAACTTTTTAAGGACTAACTAATTTAAGGATGCTTTTAAGGAATTCTGTGCGTCTTACATATCGAAGAAAAAAGAAATGGTTGATCTTTGGATTATGGTAACATGGCGATTTTTTGGCAAAAATTTGGCGACCAACTCTCCTACAGCAACCCTCTATTTTTTTTCCCCGCCGCCATTTTGTCTTCACGAAATAAAGACATGTTTCCTTTCTTTTTATCTACTGAACACTTCTTCCAACAATCTACTAGCCGAATTACACTTATGCTAGAAATTTTATCTAACAAAACTGCTTAATCATGACAAATATTCACTGCAAAATTGGGAAAAAGTGCACAATACCATACTCCTTATGCATTTTTCAAAATAACACATACACATAAACCATGTACACGTCGACTTATTTTTACTTAAAAAAAATATCTCAGAATTACACAAAAATGGCATTGCACACACTCTTCACTATATCCAAGTACACTGCTTTTTTCTCATAAATTAGAAAAATTTCACGAAAATACATGACAATTTTCTGAATCTTTAAACCCGATAAAAAGAACATATATGAAATTACCTGATCGCGAAAAAAGTATATACCCTTTCCAAATATGAACATTTCCACATATAAAATAAATAAAATATCCAAAAACTTTTACCTCTAAATCATCTATTATATTATAAACGTCACCAACGAATTCATACCGCAAGCATTACAAATACTTAGTGTCAAATATTTAAATTATTTCCATGCATGCACGTTTACTTCAACTAAAACATACCAAATTCCTACAAACATAAAATTCACAAAATAACTATCATTTAATTAAATATCACTAAACCATGTACACGTCGACTTATTTTTACTTAAAAAAAAATCCAGAATTGCACAAAAATGGCATTACCACACTCTTCACCTTCACCATTCCATGTACACACTGCTTTTTCTCATAAATTAGAAAAATTTCACACGAAAATGCATGACAATTTTCTGAATCTTTAAACCCGTTAAAAAAGAACATATATGAAATTACCTAATAACAAAAAAGTATATACCCTTTTACCTTTCCAAATATGAACATTTCCATGTATAAAATAAATAAAATATCCAAAAACTTTTACCTCTAAATTATCTATTATATTATAAACGTCACCAACGAATTCATACCGCAAACATTACAAATACTTAGTGTCAAATATTTAAATTATTTCCACGCACGTTTACTTCAACTAAAACGTATACCAAATTCCTACAAACATAAAATTCACAAAATAACTATCATTTAATTAAAATATAATTAAATTCAAAAACACTACTTTAAAATATAAATAAGCACATACATTAAATTAATAAAATTAGCTTACAATCCTAATTACTTTAAACTAACTAAATCATTGCTAATAACAATTTTCCCAATAATACCAAATTACTTTACTTTCACCTTACATTTAGAACAATGCATAAAAATAATATCCTCAAATAATTAAAAATACTAACTTACCTAATGTTCTTCAGAATCTTGCTTACATGGTGGATACACACAATCCCAAAATTATTCAACCCTACTTCACTCAACACACAATGAAACTTAATACAAAATAATATACAGCCACACATATTTTTCCAAATTCCCCCCTTTTCGGATTAAAGAACCGTAATTCGTCCATTAATATCACATGACATATCCCATGATCTCTCCTTTCCCTCACACAAAATAATGTGTAATCGGAACTGAGTACTTCTCACATTATTACCAAAGTCCTAGGTAGTAACCTTTATCGCCTCCAAAATGTTGCCAAACTACCAGTTACCATATTCCAAAGATCAGCCAAAGAAATTTTTAAATAAGGTACGTCGATATTTCCTTTTTGTATTGCATAGATTCCATAACATGTATTTCCATTTTTATGTTATTTCCCTGTTTGATTTAAATAATATATTTTTTATTTAAATTATTGCATTATGTTTTGGACACCATTTTACTGAAATATATTTTTACCGAAGCCTTCTACAGTCTTTTAAACATTTCTCTCCAAAGTGCAGCTCCAACATGGAATTCTAACCACAAAGGGTTTTTGTGTGCCAAGATAGAGAACTGAGTCTTGTGCACTTCTTAGGAGGTCTTTCCATCACATGTGGATAGCTTTGGAAGACATAAATAAGGGTTTAAAGCCGTCAGAATTATTCTCAGTTGTCACTATGGATTTCTTCAAGCTCTCAACTTTCTCGACAACAGCAGAAATTTTGTCATTTAATTTATTGTTTGTGAGCAGAAAAAAATCTTTCTTTGATTTGTTGTTTAACAGCAGAAATTATTTCTTCAATTTGTGGTTTGAGAGCAGAAACTCTTTTTTTTTTTAATTTGTTGTTTGAATTCAACATAAAGTTAGCAGAAAATGCATGATAACTGACACTTTTAAATCAAATTTAACAAATTTAATTCGATATTTACTGGGTTCTCTGCCATAATACTTTCATTTATGTTCAAAACTCAGCATAAGAAGCATTCTTAACTGATAAAATGTAACTTTTTGCTATATACTATCAATAATTTACAGTAAATGATCAAATACAGATAACTTTTTATGAAAGACAGTATGAAGCAGTGAAAGACGATGACACTGGTGACTGGTATTACTTTCAATTCAATCAGATGCTAGCATGAAAGAATTGAAATACAGTGACTAATTTCACTGAAGTCACATTTATACTATTTCATCAAATTATAAAAAACCTACTATACTGCAAAAAAGTTGCCATCAAGTAGGAAAAAAAATAAATGAAAGGTGAAGTAAATTATGACTAATTATTTTATGAAATTACAATTATATTTCATAATCAACTTTACTGTCATGATAATAAATATTAATAAATATTCAGTAAACATGATAGGCCAAAAAATTAAATATAATAAATTTAACCTAGATTCTATTAAAAACTGTACATTAACTATGGGATAAATGTTTCAATTTCTACATCTACTAGTTCAGGTTATAATTTTAGAATTTAAGCAAAAGTCCTTTGATCTACAATGAAATTATTTCCCACTTATAATGCAACTGCTCAAATAATGCAATACACAAGAACAAGCATACGTTTATATTCTAATCTGTACTACAAAATAAGTTAAAGGGATATTGAGTAAATAAGTTAAGCACTTAAAGTTAAGTAAAAGGTTTTTATTGCATTACTTTAAAAATGTATTTGGCACAACAATTTTTATGTAAAATAGTACAAAAACAGCAAATTGGCCTACTTTGAATTTTTTACGATTTTTTAACCTCATAATCTGATTACGGTAATCAATATTAATAAGATAAGAGTGGATATAAACTTGATTTAAATTTGAAATTAAAAACAGAAATCAAACTGGCTGCAGAATGTATCTTGGAAGATCACAAAATTATATTATTATTTAGTTTGAAAGAAACAATAAGCAAGGTATATCATAAGAATATTTTTATAGTCATAAGAAACATGCTTTAAATTCATGGATAATCTTATAGAACTTTAAAATATTTCTTATTTTATCAGCAGTTTTTTAGAACTAATTACTATTATATTTGTAAAGAATAAATTTAGATATAACACAAGTCAGGCATGATAAAATTTAAAAGAATGCAAAATGAGATTTCTAAATTAATTACAATTAAAATTATTTACATTATAATGATACTACTAACCTTGCTAATCTTCAAGCTCTAACATTAAAATAAATAAATATACATTTAATATCTAATACCAATAGACAAGCAAATGTTTAGGCAAAGTCACATAATTTATTACATATTATTTAAATTTATTACATATTATTTAAAGTATATTTTCCAGATTAGGGATAATAGGTAGTAAGTAAGAAATGAATACAGAAACTGTCATAGCAATATCTATATTGCCTACAAAACCTAATGGAACTAAATTTTTATTCTTCAAAGAAATGAAAGGAGAAGATGAATATCATTTTTATGTAGAACTGCTTCATAAAAAGTTTAGGAGTTGAAAATACGTTCCCTCTGTAGATATGAGCATAGACAGGAAACAGAGCAAAAGGAAATAACTTAAAAATAATATATTCGTTATAAAAAATACTTCGTTATACAAATATAAATCCTCAGATTTAAAATCATTATATATTTAATACGGTTAAAATACAGTAAAAAAGGAAAACATCTAAAGAAATTCAAATATGTGTTCTGGCATATTAAAAACTGCATTTTACTTTAAAATTATCGACTTAAAAATAAAAAACAAGGATATTACAAGAAAACTATGTGCAGTATTTCTCTGTAGATTGCTGAACATAATGAATCTATTACTTAATTTCAAAGTAAGAATTACAAATCTCAATTTATTCATGAAAACTCCTTCATCCCTTTAAATACAGATTTAAATGTACAAATATGTCTTTTGAATGAAATTTAGTATTCAACAGATATCATTAATATACGAAATCTGGAGTCTATTTAAATATTTAAAAAAGATTTAGATACAGTAATCATACCAACAATTTTCTATCACAGACAACTCTAAAAGATATGCAACGAAGTGTGCCGGTGGTTTTGCTTTTCTCGAAAATATATTAAGCGAATGCAACGGGAAAAATAATGATAAATTACAAGCTAACCTGATGCAATTTTTTCTTTGATAACTTTAAAAGGCAGTTAAATCCACAAAGAAACATAGAAAATACCTAGAATAGATTGCGTATCAATTCACTCCGTTTAATTTTACAGTTTACTATTACACATGCAGTAAAGGTTAACAACCTGTCGGATTATCCGGCTAAAATTATGAAACTGGTAGTTCAAATATATTCCAATAGGTCTCTAAAGTCACTAGAATAAAAATGCAAAATTGAGCGATGTTAAAATATAGGGAGGAAAAAGAACGTGCATGCAAAAACCTTTTCTTAGGATCTGAATGATTTATTAAGTTCAATGATTTCAAAAAAGAACTTTTCCCGTATTACTGGCAATGTATGAACTGCCAACTCCAACTCCCTCTGTCTGTGCCGGGATTATTAGTATTTTACCGGATGTAAAATGCCAAAAAGATGCATAACGTTAAATATTTTGACACAGCTAGTCTCATGAAGGGTCAGGATAAAAAATAAGTAAAAAGAACTTTGAACTAAGATTGCGACAAGCATCGACTACTAGGAGCCTTGACTTGTAGATTGACTGGAGCCAGTGGCCAATTGCGGTTGTTATGTAGAGATGGTGTTCCAAACCATCAACGCCCGGAGGTGATTATTAAGAAATGAAAAACATACAATTACCTGAGCAATAAGGCAAGTAAAAGGAGTGCGATCGTTTGTCACATAGGCTGCATGAAAGCATACGATTGGTTATGGAGATTCCTAGGTTCTGTTTAGGAATATATGAAATTCCCAACAAATACATAAAGTTTAATTCAGTAATGATAATAAGAATGAAAAAAGAAAAATTTTGAAAGAGGTTCAGATTTTAACGGTCGCCCAAAGGGTTTGTTAAGGTTTCTTTACACTCTCTCTAAGTTGGCAGTCTAGTAGTTCGTTGTTGCACTCACTCCAGCTAACCCATTTCCTTTTGTCCTTTTAGCTTTATTATGAAAGTTGCAACGTCAGTGATAAACTGAAAATCACTAGGGAAGGTGATGTGGTTGCAGTATATACTCCAGTGACCTGTGTTAAACGAAACAGTGACCCTGTTGAATCTGTGCCATTAAGCCTAATATCGGAATTACTCCACAATACACAACAAAATGAAGAGAGGAATGTAGCCAAACTTGTCATTCAAGAAGTTTTTTGCCGCTCATCTTCTGGCATAGATCGTGATATTTTCACACAGCATATGAATCGATACCGGGGATCATCCACCAATCAAGCAACATCCAAGACGTCTACCGATTGCTAAAACAGGAAGCGGTAGGGAAACTTCTAAAGAACATGTAAGAAAGCGAAGTTATCGACCCTTCAGCAAGGTCATGGGTCCCTCAGGTCCTCTTGGTCAGGAAGAAAGCTGGTTTAACTAGATTTTGCATTGACTACATTTTGCATAGCCAGTTGAATGAGGTTGCGAAGAAAGACAGCTACCGTCTTCCTAGAATTGACGATATGTTAGACACACTTTTTGGAAGCAAGTTGTTTCCAACACTTGATTTGAAGAGTGGATATTGGTAGGTATAGATACACCCTGATGACCAAGAAAAGACGGCATTTACTACGGAACAAGGACTTCAAGTTCAGGGTGATGCAGTTTGGGTTATGTGATACGTCGACAACATTCGAACGCCTCATGGAGACCTTGTTTTCTACGAAGCCTGTCTGATATACCTCGAAGACATCCTCATAGACTGGAAAACTTTTAAAGCACATTTAGGAAATCTTAGAAAAATTCTCCAGAAACTGAAAGGAGCGAATCCCGCCAAATGTAAATTGTTCAAACAGGGAGTGATTTATCTCGGACATGTCATGTCTGCTGAAGGTTTGTGTAAAGATTCCAGAAAAAGTGTCAGCTGTTAAAGCTGGAGACGCCCCGAAAATGTGCATCAGCTGAGAAGTTTTCTTGGGCTTTCCACCTACCATACGAGATTTTTGAGACTTTTCTTCCATAGACCCTTTCAGAAGCTGATAGAAAGCAATCAAAAGTTATGGTGGACAACAGAACATGAAGATGCATTTCTTGACACAGATGCGATCAATGACAGTGTCGACGGTGTTGTGTCCCAAGAAATAATGGTCAAGAACGTGTCGTAGCCAACTGTAGCAAGTGTCTATATACACCGGAGAAGAATTTCTGTGTCACCAGGAAAGAATTGCTTGCCATATTTAAAGCCGTAGAAAATTTCCATCATTACATCTACGGAAGAAAATTCCTGCTCTGCAAAGATTATGCATTGTTGATCTTTCTCTTAAATTTCAAAGATCCCACGGGTCAAATAGCCAGGTAGATACAGAGACTCCAGGAATATGACATAACTATCCGTTATGGGAAAAGACCATCACATAGAAAGGCCGAAGTCCTGTCTAAAAGTCTGCCCAGAAAGCTGCCGATATTGTTACAGGGTCGAAGCGAAATACGAGCTGCTTAATCCACGTCAGGTTACGAATTCAATAGCATTTGATCTCGACCCATCAGGGGACAAAGAAGTCAGAAAGGGCTAGTTGGAAACAGCGACACTAAACCCAGTGGCTTAGCTAGGGTGGGGCAAGGGGAAACATCTGTCCCTGGGCGCAGCATTCAGGGGCCGCCAAATTGATGTTACGAAATTTTGGAATAAAATATTTTCCATTCATGGCACAGAGAAAGGGGCGCAAAATCTTCTGTTGTCCCCGAGCGCTAAAAACCCTAGCTAAGTCTCTGACTAAACCCGTAATTGAATTAATGGAGTCTTCAAACAGCAAACCTACCTAGCAAGACATTCCGATCTGCAGTCCTACGACAAATAATACTGGAATCTTCGGGACTCACCTTGTATTCAAAATAGCGTATTGTACCGGAAGTTCGAATCGGATCATGGAAAGGCATTCCGATGGCAGCTGATACTTCCAAGATCCTGGATGTCCTTAAAGAACTACATAGCAGCCCTATAGGAAGCCTCTTCAGAAAAATGAAGACTTTGAACTGAGTATGACAGTTCTACTGGAGTAATGCAAGCAATTACATGCAAACTGGTGCAAATCTTGCGATACCTGTGCGAGCCAGAAGGAACCGAAAAAACGCAGCTGAAGGAAGCTGCAACGTTACAATGTAGGATCCGCTTTTGAACGCATCACCTTTGACGTCCTGGCACAAACTGTTGATGGCAACAACTACAATTTCGTTATCATCGATTTTTTCACAAAGTGGCCTGAAATGCGTCTATACCTGATCAAAAGGCTATCACGGTAGCAGAGGTAATAATACAACATTGGATTTCCTGGGTCGGAGTGCCTCTTAAGTTACATTCCGATCAAGGAAGAAATTTTATCTCGGCTATAATTAAAGAACTCTGCAAGCTACTCGGCATCGCAGAACTCAAACGAATCTTTACATTTCCAGTCAGGCAGCATGATGTAGAGGTTTAAACGAACTATCCTTAATAACCTCTCGTTGGTGGTTTCCAGAAACCAAAAGGACCGGTACAAGAAACTGTCACTGTTCTTACTGGCCTATCGCATGCTGTCCACGAGACTACCAGCTATTTCCTATCGCAGATGGTCTTCGGTCTTGGAACTTCGCGACGGAGATGATGAAGACCCGAGAGCTACAGGAGATCAATTCAATGAAGGCGACAATGTGTGGCTGTGAAATCCGATTCGACGGAGCTGTTGAATTTAGAAAAGAACTCTCTGCTGAACTACGGCACCTTCGGATTGAACTACATTGTAGCTCGGATCCGTAAGTCACAAAATTCTAAGCTTAAAGTCGCACTTTACAACAGGCCCTTACTATGGTCCCCATAGTGTATATAATGTAAATAGTACAAGACCATAGCTCTTTTTGTTTTTAAATTTATAAGTTATGTACTTAGTTATTGATGTGTATTGTTATTGTTTCAGCATTTGATTTGTTATTTATTGAAATTATTGCTTTAGCATTACACTGAAGTAGTTTAATATTACCAATGTTACGTATTTTGCACATAGAATTGGTAATTTTAGTATAATTATATGTGAAATTGTATTTTTCTGTGTTATGCATCATGAAAAACCGAGACAGAGTTGTGTCCCAGAAAAATAAGAATACAGGAGCAAATCTCTTTAACATTAAGTAGATAGGTATCTCGGTAATTTGGTAAGCTATCGCCAAGCTGACAACGGTTTTGGCGACTAATTTTCGTAACCAACTTTGGCGAGAAATTTCCATACTTGACGACCATTTTGTCCGGTTCTTGTATCACCGTAATAAGTATTGTAATTGAGGACTGTATTAGCTGTAACCGTAATTTGACCCTCATGCTGCATTTTCTAGAAATGTCTTGGCGGCCGGGTGAAATCTATATAAGGTCGATGAGAGTATCTGCTCTTAGTTGTTGTAAAGCCGTTAACTCAGCGTAAGTTTCGCTCTTTAGTTGCGCTTTGCATTGGTTTGTGCTTATAGTTCGTAGTAGTTTAAAGTGTAGCTACTGATTGTGATATTGTGAAAAGTTGTGCGACTATTTTTGTGGAATGTTCCACATTTCTCAAGTGTTTCTTTTGCTAAAATTAATTTTATCAAGCTATCAACAGAGCTGTGTGCACTAAATTAATTACGAACCCGTACGCATGCGAAAGTAATTTTTTTAACACATTTAATATGAATAGTAAAATATCTATTTTTTTAAAATTTCAATAAATAATTTTTTTATTTATTAATTAATTTTTTCAAGTTCAATAAATAAAATTTTCCTAGAAAGAGTTTGCTTTTGAGACATTACATATTAAAGACTGCGTTTCAAAGTGGGTTCATATAAAAAAAAAAAAAAAATGTAAGTATTGCATTTCTATTCCTCATATCAAGACCTGGAAAAATCATCATATAATTAAGAAAGCAATATGTACGACTAGTAAATTACTGTAATTAAATTCCCAACTTCTACGATATAAATTGATCTCTCCAGCAGACATGATGATCTACGGAGCCAGGGCCCCTGAACTGGGGTGGCTCGAGGCCTCCCTTACAAGGTTTTTAGAACTGAGACTCTAGGACTATCCAAGAGGGTGCCCCTCCCCCTCCCCCCGGTCGCTGCAGAGGGAACAAAATTTCCCATGACAAGTATTCATCGGAGAAGAGACCGACGGGCGACCATCACGTAG